AAAAATTCCTCTGACTGCCAAATTGAACTCGGCCTACGGCCTCATCCAATTTCATCAGTCCTCGGAATTTTCCTCATCCAATTATTTCTTAATTGGACAGCATGGAGTCCTATTACGTATACTAATTGACAAGTGTCTAACAAAAAAGATTACGAGTATTACACAAAATGTTTGGTCCCCCCTTTTTCAGTGCACAAAAATGTTTGGTCCCCTCTCATTTCCACCAAGTTTCTGATTTCTTTTCTTTAATATTTTTTCTCTTCTTCTCAGAAATTCTTGTGATTGGTACAGGAGACAAAATTGTCCAGCTTTCACCTGAAGTGCATTCCCACTTGAAAGAGAATAAAATCATGCTAGAAGTACAAGATACTGTAAGTTTATTTGAGGGATAATCCCTTCTAGCTTAGAAATAATGTTATTTTCATTTCATTTCAGACCACATGTCATTCTTCTGAGAATAAAATTCTTTGTTTTATTTGTATTCATATTCATGAGTCTTCTCATGTGCAACTCGCATTAAACTAAAAATTATTCTAATGGGGAATGCTTTGTTATCGTCAACCAAGATGGTGGCAATGACGTAACATGCACCTACTCTATTGTTTCAAAGCTGCAATAGGTTCAAATAAACAACAAAAGAGTCTATTCAGATTGGGATTGCATCAATTCAGCCTCATCATCCCCATTCTCCTTCCCTGCACCCATCCTTCCCCCCTCCCCCCCCCCCCCCCCCCCCCCCCCCCCCCCCCCCCTCTCTCTCTCTCTCTTCACCTGGCTGCCTTCCCTCAGTAACAAGTAGCAGTTAAAGTACCAATTATCATGTGCAACATTTAAGGTCAATAGGATAATTTGTAGTAATATTTTCTAACCTGTATTTTTTATTTTTACAGAGAAATGCTGCTGCCACCTTTAATTTTCTTCTTGAGGAAGAGAGACTTGTAGGAGCTGCTCTTATTCCACCTCACACTGAAAAAAGCTGATGTCCCACCTTAACGTCTATTCTGTAATTCTAGAAAACAATATCCATGCCTCCTCCATAAAGAAGAGATTGGATTTTCCAATGTGCAGGAAGAAATACTTATACCTTCAGCATTGGGGGATGATTTACCAGGAGTTGGGACTTGGGTCTAAGGCGGGTACTTTGTGTGGACCTAGAGAATATACCTATATCCCTCATGGAGGGGTTATAGCTCATCTTATGCTTGTACATAATCATCATAATCATAATCATTTCTAAATTGGACAAGTGATAACTCTACTAGACAGGGGTTTAAGTTGTGATATTTTGTGCTTGATTACTGAAAAATAAATATTTAAGCCAAGAAAACTGCAAATTAAGAAGAAAAAGAAGAGAAAGGGAGCTTTATGATTTCATATGTTACTCTTTATATTTATATTTTTGGACTACTTCATCAAAAGTTGGATTCATTTTAAGACTTTTCATTATTAATGGGATTGGAGAGGAATGCATGAGAACTTGATAACTTCAAAATTTTAAACTTGAACATCAGCTAATTTCGAACAAATAAATTTTTTTTAAACCCCTCCTATTTGCAAAGATGAAAAATTTTTCAATCCCACTGTTTGGGAAAAAATAAGCATCAAATTCTCAATAACAAGCTTCTGTAAATGAGCCCTTCCCCTCACCCCTTAAAAGATTAATAGCAAAATTTTTAGCTGTCACTGTCATCTCTTCCACACCATACCCGACTCACCTAACTAAATTATGAACAATTCTCCATCAAGTTCCGATCACACATTACAAGACAAGATTTAGGGAAGAGAGCGTCTTTCTAAGTCCACACCTTGAGGCTACAAATTCAGATTGTCAAACTAGGCGTTCTAACTGCCAACCTATCCCAAATTCCGAGAGGCTAGGCCTTCGATTAGATGCTCCGACTAATGGATTTCTAGAAGATGCACAATGAAGTCACACCCGTAATTTATCACCTATTAGAACTCACAGCTTTGTATTAAACAATCGGGTAACCACAGATTTTTAAAAGATCTTAAATGAGCGCTGAAGCCCTTGAAATTTTAGGTATTTTTAGATCGAATTTCAATCATCATGTTTTTGACATCGTACTTAAAAATTGCTTCATCCGGTCAATAGGGGACAAAAAAATACCTTCCCTCAGGGAAAGCGTTTGCCTAGATACTTGGGAACTGACTTTAACTCTCAGTATTAAAAAATAAATAGTATAAACTTAATTTTTATTAAGAAGATGTGGCCTTTTGAGATTCAAGTAAATTTTCGGTGTTTCGAAATCTTGCAGGTCACGGTCAAACATGTTTTGAAAAACTTTTGAAAAATTTATTTTCAATTGCGGTTTGGCTATGAACTGGGCGATGTTTGCGGTGATTCTTCGCGCTGAACAATTCATAGGGTTTGAAACGTGAAAATGATAAAAGCCGTACAGAATTTTCGTAGACGAAAGGTCATGCTATAACTCTCCAAACCTAATGCAGAATAAAACCAAAAAAAGATTTTGAATACAATTTTTTTTCGGGGGAATATCTTATGCGTGATAGTTAAGAGGTCGCGTAAAGTGTCGTTTACTGGTTTTCCGGTTTAGTTTCCATTTGATTTAAATTTGCCAAAGATCCAAAGCAAAGAAAAGAGCCTTGCCCTGTTTGACACCTCAAATGCCAAACTCCGAGGAAATCCTCTCACATTTCTGATATTCAAACTTGATTGGCTAAAGGTCCGTCCCAGTGATGAATCAACCAATCAGAAGTCGGGATGTTTGAATGAAATGACAGCATTTCTCCACGGGAGAAAAATGTGCCGGCGAAGAGAGGTCAGAGAATTTCAAACACATCACTTGAAGAGTGGATCATATTCCCTACGGATCGCCCTCAGCTTTGGAATTCAAGCAAAACAGAACACCAAAATGGGGTTCTGTCTTCATGGCTCCCGTAGTTTGATTTTCAAACCCTCTTTGGCCTTAATTTTTGGTATTTTCGTGTTTGCTTTAACAGTAAAGGAATCTAGTTTCCAGATACTGTCAAAGTGCTACGAGTTTGACGATGTAAGAAGACCTCAAAGATGTATGCCGGAGTTTGGAAATGCAGCCTTTGGGAAAAGAGTAGTTTCAAACAATACTTGTGGAAATCCACCGTCAAAATTCTGCGTCCAAACTGGAGTCCTAGAAGTGAGAAAGGAATGCGAGGTGTGCAATGCTTCGAACCCTCGCTTAGCGCATCCAGCCTTCTTTATTACTGATATCAAAGATGATCAGAACCAAACATGGTGGCAGTCACAGACCTCACTAGAGAATCCCTATAAAACTGTGACTTTAACTCTAGATCTAGGGAAATCCTACGACGTTTCGTATATAAGAATTCGCTTTCGTTCGCCAAGGCCAGAATCAATGAGTATCTACAAACGAACCTCGTATGATCGTGACTCGAAGTGGATCCCCTATCAATACTTCTCTTCTTCTTGTAGAAAAACTTATAATATCGAACCTAATGGGATCGTTACACGCAGGAATCAACAAGTGCCTCTATGTACTGATGCATTCTCGAGTATTTCTCCGCTTACTGGTGGAAATGTTGCCTTCAGCACGTTGGAAGATCGACCGGACGCTTATGACTTCGACAACAGTCCCGCATTGCAAGAATGGGTTACAGCCGTCGCCATTCGAATCAACCTTGATCGTATGAATACCTTTGGAGATGAAGTATTTGGTGATCCTAACGTCCTAAGGAGTTATTATTTTGCAATTATAGACTTGTCGGTCGGTGGAAGATGCAAATGCAACGGTCATGCGGCGCGATGTGAGGAAACCGCTCTGTCGGATGGAACAGTTCGACTACAATGCGAATGTGAACACAACACTGCTGGAGTAGACTGTGACAAATGTCTACCCCTCTTCAACGACAGACCATGGGCAAGAGCTTCTACTAGCAATCCCAATGTCTGCATGCGTAAGTACTATATGATTTTCTTTATCACTACTAAACTCTTCGCTTAGATTGATTAAGATCTCTCGGCTTAGTAAGACCGACATGACCAAGTTTAGAATTTCAACCACTCACCATGATATCAAACCGGCCAAGTAACTAATTTACTCGATACATTTAGTAAAACTCCCTTAGCCTACTCTTTTTGGGGAATGAATAAAATCTTAAAATATCTCATAAAAACTAAATAAAAAGGGCATTTATTGTTTATTTAAATCAAAAGTTTTAAGTTGAGAAATTTTTCGCGCGATAAATCTGACCGGAAGTGGCCATGTTATCTTGTCGTCTCTATCGTTGCACCACGCGCCCCGAATGAAGAATTCCTGTTATCTTGCATGTTTATTAACTCCGCCGAGGACAAAAGCTCTTTGATATGCGATACAGATTTAATCCTATTAAATATGAAAACGCATCGGTAGCATAATTTTTATTGGTTTCCCGACAATTTTTTATCGTTATATTTTTTTCACTCGCGCTTGAAGCATGTCGTGCAATTCTCTTAACTTCTCGACATCGAAAAAAAAATCCTAAAGTTCTGCTAACTGTTTAGCTAAACTTTCTGTGCTTATTTCGCGTGTTTTAAAGCTCGTGAACTCTAAATCAAAACACATGAGTTTGTTTTCAATGTTTTTGGGCCATTCTTAATTAATTCTTGTTAGTTTTGCCCCCGCTTCTGCACCATTATCATTCACCTTTGAGTAAGACGATATCTGTACATGTTTTACAAATGTTTCAACCCACGACAAAACGATTTTTCGGCTTAAAGTAACTAATCGATTCATTCAAAGAAAAAGCGAGAGAAAGCTGATAATACAATGCTCAGGTCATATTTTGCACACATCAATAATATAAATTTTTGGTGAACTGGGAATCGGTAAAAGTGCTGAAAGTTCATCGCGTGAATCGGCGATGTTTTTACGTTCATGCCATGCATTTGCAAAAATAAAGGAAAAAATTCTTTAATTGCTTTTTTTCAAGACAAATTAGTCGTGATTATGTTTTACATTACAACTTTGTAATATAACTTATAATATAATATATAATTACATGTAGATTCCTAAGATATTTGGAATTTCGTTTTTTGCCGAAAACATTGCGAGAAGGCCACCAGGGAAGATGAAATGGATAACGTCACGTGATATAGAGGTGCCGGTTGTCATAGTGTTACGCGATAGGGCATTCACATCGGATAGATACTTCATGTGGTCAATTAATAGCCATCTATGCCTTTTTAAGGATTGCTTCAATCACGATAGTATGTGATATATGAATCGTGCAGTTTTCGTATGACTGTGAAAAGTTCACGGCACGAACACGGCCATGACACGGTAAGGGATACGCCAGACCAATCACATTGCACGAGAATTTACTCTCCATCCAACCAAACACCCGGAACTCGGCGTGGACACGGTCACGCCAAAGATCACGGCACTTTTAGACCAATCATATTGCGCGTGAAAAAAATCAGCCAATTAAAATTCTAGAAAGTATCACGGTCACGGCACGTCACGCTTACGGCACGGAGCTTTTCACAGTCATACGAAAACTGCACTATGATTGTAGACGGTTCACGCAGTCGTAAAAAGCGTGGTCGCTTTGTTTAGTGGTGTCATTACAGATTTTTAGCCCTACCCCTACCCCCACGGTAGAGTATGAAATAAATCAGTACTTACCCCTCCCCTAGAGAAATCCAATACTCTGTCCGCGCCGCCATTATCATCATTATTATCATCATCATCATTTTTATTATTGTTGTTGTAACATGGCGTGTTGGTTTTCTGTTCACAGCGTGTAAGTGCAACAACCTCGCCGATAGCTGCGTCTTTGATCCAACTCTCTACAGACAGACAGGTCATGGAGGTCGATGCGTTAACTGCAAGCGAAACACAGACGGCCCTAACTGCGAGCGATGTAAAGAGAATTTTTTCCGGTCCAAGTCTACTGACCCGTGTTTGTCGTGCAACTGTAACAGGGTTGGGTCTGAATCACTTCAGTGTAACAGCGCAGGACAGTGTCGCTGCAAGCCTGGGGTCACTGGAGTCAAATGCGATCGATGTCTACCAAACTACTTTGGATTTTCACAGACGGGATGCAGGTACTTATATTTGTATTTTACGGCCTTATGACTACCCGTTCATTCAAACCCGCAACGCCAGACATTAGCAAACGAGAGGTCAGTGGTTCGAGTCCTGCGAGAACCCAACTGAGGCAGATTTTTTAATCTGCTTATACACTCGATGTAGCATACACTTAACATATAGATCTTTACCGAGTGAAAAAACACATTTCATAAATTTATGAATTTTCGTTTCCAGGCCTTGTCAGTGTGTTCCTGCCGGCACAGACCCAGCAATGACGCAATGTAACGAGAAAGGGGAATGCCACTGCAAGCGGCACGTGGTTGGAGCCAAGTGCACGCAATGCCGCACGGGATACTTTGGGTTAGAGGAGACGAACCCCCACGGGTGCAAGCAGTGTTTTTGTTATGGGCATTCGACTGTCTGTAGACCTGCTACCGGCTATACATCAAGGAATATTACCACAGACTTTACTACTGGGTTAGAGGGATGGACAGTCGTTAACAAAAATGGTGAGTGAACAAATAGACCTTAATTAGATTGGATGAACGTACAGGAATGAAGAAATAGAAAACGCACGCGAGTGCTGTGTGCAGTTATAAAGCACGCGGGGGTTGGCAGAACACGAGAAAAGTGTTAGGAAAAGCACGACGCGTACCACCCTTCTTGAGTGTTCTGCTAATCCTAAAGTGCTCCACATAAATAACTCCACACAGCACAGTAATCAAGTTTTTTATTTCTTCTATAAAACACAAATTCAATAATCATTACTTTAGAAAGTGCGTACGTGTACTTAATGCTCTTATTAAGCACGCGCTCCGATCCTACCAGAACATGAGATTTATAACAGTTATTTCATAACAAAAAAAAAGTTTTAATATAATCTATTTTTCTCTTTCAGAACAAGACGTGACAGATCAATATGCCGTACATAGTCAACGTGGTTTCATCAGTACAACAGCCATAGGTAAAGAGGTTCTCTACGCCAAGGCGTCGTTGGTTTTCTACAGCAATAGGCGGAGTAGTTACGGACAGACGTTTGGATTCAAGTTTCGTGTGGGCGCAACTCAAGGAGTAGCGGTATGTAACATAAATTCAGGGTTCGATCTGTGAGTTAGCCATGCCCTGACTTAGATCAGCCCAGAGGTTGTTTCAGGGTTCTATCTGCGAGTTAGCCATGTTCTGACTTAGATCAGCCCAGAGGTTGTTTCAGGGTTC